TGGCGGGGTGATACATAAGCAGCAGGTGTTCACTGCAAACGTCTCATTATTTCTTTGTTGTGCATTCATTAATTTATTCGAACTCACCGTTTTGGCAAAGACTGTTACAGATATAAATTTTACAACGGAACTGGCGACAATATGTCTGTGCTTGCACGTACGTTTGTTGTTCCAGATAATTCACTTCCTTTAGACAAGTGTAGTATAATGCTTGGTTGCGAAAATATGGCCTGCTTGGATTCCAAAACGCTGTGTCGCAATAAAGAGGTAATTTAATATTTCCATGTTCAAAATGTTTTTCCTTAGCGAAATTTTGAAGGTGTTTTTTTTTTTACTTTAATTGAACCCCTTATGCTGCCAAAATAGGCTGCTCGGAATTAACTCGAGTCTAATTAATAACGAGTGTTTCGCAGTTGTGCTAACATTTAAATAACGAAATGTTAAGGATGTGCAGTCCTGTTTTTGAATGATTTATGTCGGGTCACTAACTTCTTGGGAAAGTGCTTTGCAAAATGGCTGGGTGAAAATTTATTATATGGTTCATTGAAGTAGAATAGATTTTATTCCAACATATCGTTGGACATCTTGTCAACCCTTTCCTCAACATCAAGCTCTACTTTGGCCACAGGGATTTTGTTAACAAATGATAAACCTTTGTCACCGTTTCGGTTTTGCACAGGACGCCATAGAAAAAGAAGACTTTGGTTTGGATTTACCATCTGCACAGAAATACCAACAAAACCACCATGTACAACACGATGCCGTGCTGGCCTTCCAAGACGAACTGGACAAAATAAAGAAGCTGGAGGTGAGATTTGCCCGCAATTTTAACAGGATAAAGTATTGTACGAAAAATCTTAAATCTAAGACTGTCTGTTGCGCAAAAATTAACGGCCGAGTTGTATGTATCAATTCTTCCAACTGAATATCTTGCACTTGCTTTGGTGTCAATCCTGGGAATTTAATATTTTGCATCAAAGCAGTGTCCTCTCATTGATGATTTTCTTTATTCTTATCACTTGTCTGCTTGACAATGCAGTGATATTGTATGGAGAATTTACATAATGAGCCGACCTGGTAACGACACTCTTTTTGCTCTAAGAGGCCTTTAGTTGACCAGTGGAATCTTTATGTATGAGGTCTTAATCTGTTTCATTGTTTTTTTTTCGCTTCAGGCTGAGGACAGAAGTCTTCATGAAAAGATCATAGAGATCCACGAGGAATATGCAGCCCTTGTGGTACGTTCTTTTGTTGTTATTTTTTGGTACGTTCGTCGACCAGCCGGCGGCTATTCAGTTCCGAGCAACAAGCCTCTTATCGGCCTTACACAGTAGCTGTGTACAGGCCAAAGTGGTCCAGTGGCACTACCGGCGATTTTACTGCTTCCCCTGGGATAGGATGCTAGTCAATCGTAGGTCCTCCCCCCCCCAAAAAAAATTTTGTGACTTATATTTACACTTCTGTCTAGCTCAAGGACACTGAACAAAGGTGCGAATCTCAAGTTCAAAGCGGAGCCGCCGCTACCCTCTTCCCCCCCCCCGCCCCTCAAAAAAAGTTGTTATAGAAAACATTGCCCTCAAGTCGAAGCGTTCCGTACCAACTTCAGTTCTTCTCCGGCGTCACGCAATGCTTTTGGTCTGTGACGAGCGGAAGCCTGACTCTAGCTAAATAGTACTACAGTGATATCTATTTAAATTCAGAACATTTTCAAACGCGTTTTCTTTTGGTTTATTGATCAGATGTAACTTTTGTATCTTGCAGAAAAGTTCTGTGGATCGTATTAACCATTTGAAGAGTTTGGTCGCTTTCATGAGTGAAGCCACTAAAGAGTTGATCTGGATGAACCAACGAGAGGAGCCAGAGGTGTCACGTGACTGGTCTTGTACTGACCTCGACATCGAAGAACTGCAAGCGCACGGAGAGGTATGACTGAGGAGGGAGGGGTAAGGAGTGTAAACATGTCGCTGAGGATTGTTTTCCTTTTGATTTCAGAATCTTGAGTTTGATATTCGAGAAAGAGAACCACATTATAACATGCTACTGGCCAAAGGAGACAATTTGATTCAAACTGGACACCCCGCACCCGGTCCAATTGAGGTGAGACTAGAATAGAAGTCATAATTGTTAATAAAAAGCATCGAGCCATGGTCGAAAAGGAAGAGTATTTGTAATTAAGCCAGGGAACGCTGAACTTTAGCTAGCCCTCAGTCGCTCAGTTCTTTTCTTTGCTCTCTTAGAAAAGAGGTTTTATTGATGTGTTTTTGATTGCTTTTCTACCTCTCTATGAAGGCGTACCTGAATGCCATGCGAAGTCAGTGGTGGTGGTTAAACCAACTCATTATCGCCTTTCAGCAGCACGTAAGGAATGCAGAAATGTACCAACAGGTTCGATAACTTTGTTATTGCCTCCACATGTTGACGTTCTCTAACCTGGCAGTGATCTATATAGCATCCATCGTCTTTTGTTGGTACCCCCGGCATTGTAAGAGGGGCGAATGAATTGCGCGCGCGGTTCATGACCCTTTCATCGTTAAAAAGTTGAAAAAAGAAAAATAATAACTCGCTGTGATCAGTTTATTGGATATATATAGGTCCTCTTGATTAATCAATTTATTTATTTATTTTTGAAGCTAATTTAGTATCGTAACGTGTGGAGAAAAACCCCGGCTTCCAATAACACACAACAAAAAAGTGAGACTGAAACTAGCGACTCCAAAAGTTCATATTAATTTTGTTAATCTACAATCAGTTGAAATTTCGTAGATAAATATTATCTTGGTCAATATAAATGAAAAAAATTAACTCCACGCCCCGACTTCATTGGTGGAAAACATGGTGCGTTTGTGGGGCTTTCCGCATTTATCTGGCAAGGGGTAGGGGGAGGGGGGGCTCTTTTCTCTTTTTATTGCTTCCGTGATCTGAATCTGAATTTCAGCTTTTGAGTGGTAAAGTGCATTTTTTATGTTCATCACATACAGTATTTCCAGGATGCACATACAACAGAGCAGAAGATGATTCAGTTAGTTGAAAGACTGAACACGGAATATGATGTACAGAACATCTCTGCACGTGATGCCGCTGAACAGGCTTTGAACAGCCTGACGGTAAGTGCTTGGGACAAAAAAAGAAAAAGAATTTCTAACCGATTTGAAAGTCAAAAGTGAACGACGCTTGGAATACAAAACCTTCAGCC